GACCCTGTATTAATCAGGAATGACCTTTAAAAAAAAAGTAAGAATTATAATTTTTGAAAAGGTCTCTTGCTATCGGAAGAGAGCTATGCGCAAATTGCATGCCTACCTTTGTTACTTGTAATTAGCAATAATTTCCGTCAATTCTGTTATTACTTATGTCTTTTACGTGCCGATTTTATTGTATTCATTTTCTTAATAATCGGTGAGAACAGATGAGCTTTATTATTTGAAACTGAACATTTAATTTTTTAAAATCATATTATAAATGGTTAAGCTACAATATATTTTTGCAAGTAGGCTATGCGTTCAGTTTAGTCATTTTATGTTCAGCGCTTCGGAACTTTGCCGCTGATTTTGTCGTATTGCATTTATTTATCGCCAATAAGGAAAGATCTACGGAATGTATTTTTCTATATTTGCACTTAAATATAATTTTTCTCCATTAAAAAACTTTAATTCTTTAAAATCGAGTTACATATGATACAACTACAAATCATTTTGTAAAGAAGGTGTCCGTTTTGCAAAGGTATTTTACGCTGTGTACCGATAAATTTGATACAGATATACGCAGACATGATCTTTCAACAGTATTGAAGAAGTTTTCACAATATTGAACAGAAAATTTATGTCAGATTATCGCATCGAATTTTCAACAGGCTAGAGACATGGCATCTTAACATACCTTCATATATACTAAAGTGTGACTTTTATTTGATAATGAATTGCCTGAAAACTTACACAAAAGTTTTTAGAAAATGATTTCACAGAGGATTGCCCCCTGTTTACATTGAAAATTTCTCTGCTAGTCATACCGAAACAAGAAATGTAAATGTTATTCTCTTTATAATTAATTAAAATATTTATCACCTTAAAACTTCATGCCAGAAGTTAATAAAAAGCTGCTTAGATGTACAGCTGACGTTAACAAATTTTGTTGAAAAAACAAATCAGACAGGTGTGTCCGACCGAGGCCGAGCTGTTTATGTTTACCGAATTCAAATCACTTGAACTGAACTGCTATGAATTCGAAAACCACCAAGGACTTTTTATTCTTTCGTGTGGAAAACCTATCAAGCTAGTTTAAAAATGTCGATCGGTTCTCTGCAGGTGCAACATTTTGCCTGAAATAATGCACAAAGTCGCACCTGAGGTCCTCGCCCCTAGTAAAGCTTATGTGTAGAGTGAAAGTTTGAAAACAAACCACAAAAAAGCATTCATTACAAAGAACATGCAGAACCACAGTTAACTTAGAGCGTAGCTAGCCAAAATGAATTCAAGTTAATAGATTTCTACAATATTTTTGCGAAAAAATAGGGATAATATTGAACATACAGGAAATATAAGAAATTATTTCAGGCATTATGATTAATTAAGTAACATACTCATGTTTATCTGAAAAGTAGCTTCCGCAATGTAAACTTTTAAATTAAATGCTATATTGGAAATGAAACAACGCATTCTTAATACTTAAAAGCAACAGAACATTGCTATACACCGCAAATGATCTGGGGTTTTTTAATCTAGCGCAAGTGATTATTCCATAAAATAAAAATATATTGCCAAAATTATCCCTGTTGAAAAGACTGCTAAAATTACAACTGTGTGGTATCATATTTTATTTTCAACTGCGTCGTATCATTTCGTAAAAATCATTATGTTCTTAGAAAATAAACATCTCTTTTTAATGAAATTTTAGTCAATGATGAAAAAATTATATTTCGAAGTTTATGGTGAACTCTGAAACAAATATATAATTGATTTGAAGGAAAAAACGATAGATAAAGCAATATGAACTGCGTCGTACCCACACATTTTCATAAAAATTCTGCCCCGCTTCGAGTTGCAAGTTCGCTATAACTTTTGTTTTACAAAATAGTTGTGCAAGCAACATATACCGAACGAAGCGGAAAATAGTGTAGCGTGTTAATACATACATCTGGTTTTCAGTCATTTCTAACAAAAAGAGTTATTAACAAAAACATACATTTTTCGTTCCAAGATGGCGGCATTTGTTTACATTTTGTAGGATCACTAGTACTTGATCCTGATCTTGTCTTAGTGAACACGGGACCCGGTCTTACAAACTTAAAGGAACACCAGGGGTCAAAACCACGTCACCTGCTGGAGGTAAAAGAAAAAAAGACGCAAAGACTTTAGTAATTCGAACCCATTTAGACGCTTTTTCCGATAACACAGGCACGCCCGGCAAACTGTCGCTCCACTTTAAAATTGTGATGTACGGTAAAACGAGCGAACGGCATTTCCGAGATAGAGCGGAAGGCCGATTTAAACGCCTAATTGTAAGTATTGTTTATGTTTTTGTCTTGTTATTCATTTAAGTTGTATTTTTTCGAAAAACGGAAAATGTAGTTCCGTGTAGGATTGATTTAGGCTTCCAATGATCTAAGCTGTTACAGAAAGAAAATTATATTAAGCCCGGGAGAACTTTTCTCCCTGACGAAGCGAACGACGATTTATAGAATATTGAACTTCCCAACCATAGAAATGCCATACCCTTCGGATTTTTTGAAAAAATTGTATTAGTAAAATATCAACCCGTAATAAGAACTTGTCCTTCGTGCGAAATAAATTACTCCTGAACGATTTCTAAAATTTGTAAATCGATATTTTTCGAAAGTAATGGAGCGAAAGGGCAAGAGATGGAGCAAAATTTGCTCCATCTCTTGCCCTTTCGCTCCAAGTGAAAAGGTTCGATGTTGAGCGCAAGGCGATATTAATTTGACGTATTAGGAGGAGCGTAGTCTATGGTTATATATATATTAAAGTTATAGAAGTTAAAATAGACGTGATCAAGTGCTGAGACCGAAATATATATATACCTTTTTAAAGCTACTAATAAAGTGTGATATCCTTTCAACGACTATAGCGTAATAAATGTAATCGCGAAGGTGCCACCTATGGCATGCCGTGTAGATTCCATTATTTATGTTCAAAATTTGGATGAGGCCCGACCATTGAATCATACACATGTATGCATGGCATAATACAGGATGCCACTTATTCGAGGTCAATCATGATTTTTCACACGCTTATGTACATTTAAAAACGTGTTTCCGTGCAAATTCGACAAAATTGAATATTTTCAGTTCTACCGCGAACAAATGTTTCCGAGCAGGTACGTGTAATGCGATTGTTCCCGCAAAAAATGTTATGTTTTTCGAAGGGTTAGATATTCAAGGTGCAGAACAGAAACAATATTATGCAATGTACGGAACACATTAAATTAAATGGATCACTACTACCGAGTTCAGTTCACAATGACTTTCTGTAATTAATAGCTCTAACGTACATGTTCAGAACAAACCCAAATAAGCCACGTTTTCATGAATTTGTAAGGTGGGGAATCGCTATGAAAATGGCTGACAAAATGTCAGTCGTTATAAGGATATAACACGTGTGTCAGTTATATTTCAAGATACTTCCTCCAGCCATATGTGACACATTTATTACGCTACAGTCGTTGAAAGGATATTACACTTTATTAGTAGCTTTAAAAAGGTATATATATATTTCGGTCTCAGCACTTGATCACGTCTATTTTAACTTCTATAACTTTTATATATATATAACCATAGACTACGCTCCTCCTAATACGTCAAATTAATATCGCCTTGCGCTCAACATCGAACCTTTTCACTGGCAAGGCCGTCGTCGGTGGTCCGGTCGGTCCGGCCAAGGCCGGACCAATATTTTGGCCAATAATGAGTAAAACAAAAAAAAAAAACACGCATTGGATTAGCAATTTGACACTTAAATGGCCCATTATGCAATGCGCGGTAATATACAAACATTACTTTCGAAAAATATCGATTTACAAATTTTAGAAATCGTTCAGGAGTAATTTATTTCGCACGAAGGACAAGTTCTTATTACGGGTTGATATTTTACTAATACAATTTTTCAAAAAATCCGAAGGGTATGGCATTTCTATGGTTGGGAAGTTCAATATTCTATAAATCGTCGTTCGCTTCGTCAGGGAGAAAAGTTCTCCCGGGCTTAATATAATTTTCTTTCTGTAACAGCTTAGATCATTGGAAGCCTAAATCAATCCTACACGGAACTACATTTTCCGTTTTTCGAAAAAATACAACTTAAATGAATAACAAGACAAAAACATAAACAATACTTATAATTAGGCGTTTAAATCGGCCTTCCGCTCTATCTCGGAAATGCCGTTCGCTCGTTTTACCGTACACCACAATTTTAAAGTGGAGCGACAGTTTGCCGAGCTCACTGAAATGACGATGTGGGGTGAATATCCATGTTCAATCCGTATAGACGGTACTTGTGAGGAAAAAGGTTGCTTATGGGGTGCAAATACGTTGCTTATGGGGTTTTAGAGATCAAAGGAGATCAAAGAAAAAACCCCATAATGTCAACTCAGTAGGAACGTCCGGGCGTGACAGGATAACACAGGGATAAACGGTAGCTGCAATTTTGATGCCTAATCTCGCAAGACACAAGGGGGGAATGATGACAAGAATGTGTGTGCACATGTAATTACTGTCATTATTAAACAAACGTTGGGCTAAAATACTCCGAAAAAAACACTAAACAATAAAAGCAGGTTTATTTCGACCCCGACTATCTTTTTAAAGATCATCTTTGTAAGATAAGCTGTAAAGATTTCGATTCATGTAGGTGTTATTTTTATGCGATAGAATGAACTGTAATGAACTGATTGACGATTGTCAGACATATTTGCAATCATAATTTTAATTACCGAATTTTCCTTTTTCTTTTCCTTCGGATGACAGATATATGCATTCGTTATACATAATCAAAGATTGCTGTTGACATGTAAGACTACGTGGTAGAACTACATGTACTTTCCATCCTCATTAAGTATGAGATTATTACGAATAATAGTCGACGTGTTCCGGTTGTTCGATTCATACGTTGGGGGGAAAAACTTGTATAATTTTGGGTGTTTATTGCTTAAACTTTTAAAGAAAGAATCAAAAGGATACCAAGGATACCTGGGCAAAACAGTTGAAGACATTTAACTGTTTCGACAGCGTCACCTTTGCATGTCACAGTATTGGCAAAACTAAATCTGTGCTTGCATACTCTAGAGCGTGTCTGTGTCCCTCCACAAGTCCTGGAGCATGTACTCCATGGTTGCCATGGCATCCATCCAACATGATCTATGAGTAATGTAACAGCGGAAGTGATTGCTAAATATGATAATTGTTATTATTATTATTATCATTGTTATAATCATTATTATCATAATTATTATTATTATTAATGTACAGCTTCGTAAAGCAACTAAAACTGACATTTGGTGGTCTCATTCATTCACTAGCACTATGTAACACGGACAGTCGGTCATAGAGACTTTATTTCTTAGGCAGAAATTAAAAATATTCGGCTTAGACAAAATTAAAATATCTGTTTTAAAACATTTGTTTATATTTCTCTATGACTACGTTCATCCTTTATTGGCATATTGTTCTTTAAAGCAGCACGCCTCCAGATTCCTACTATTTTACATGAAAATTTTGAAATGTATTAAAAAGTAAAAAACATGTACTGTGAATTGAACAAAGAAAATAATTTACACTTACAACGAATGTTAACTACTAAAATGAGGTCATCATATGCAAAAAAGCCATTACTGTGTTACGCATTAGAAATAATGATTGATTTTCTTGAAATATTTCTGAAGGCATGCAGCTTTTACAATTATTATTTTATTCGCAATTTCCCCAACAATACGTAACAAAGTAATTTTAAACCGTGTGTAAAATTGATATAATTCTTAATTTTACCGCATGTTACACAAGACTTCGGGCACATTTTGATAACAGAAGACTCTTTACACGCGTCTGCATTTAGTCTGCCAAGTGTTGAACACAATACCGTGTCTGTGTCATTACATGTGGCACCAGCATTCAATGGTTTTAGATGAAACATCGGTCCTATATGGTAAAAAGTCATCCTATGATATTTTTCTTCTTTTATAAAATTCATTAAATTATTTAACTCGTATTTGCCAAACAGGCGTCAAATGGTGCAAATCTAAAATGCTCATAGTCTATTCAGGAGTGCCTCAAGGATCCATATTAGGACATTTATTATTTTGTAATATATATATTATTGATTAAGCGTCTTCCTGTCAAAACGTAAAAATAGAGTTGTATCCTATCTACTCACAGGTTTCAAATGATCATAATTATATTCAGATAAAATAACAATTTTATCTTGATCGTATTACTGGTGTGTGTTGTCACTCTATCCTAAGAAAACCAAATGCAAGGTTATTGTATCTAGACAAAAGTCTGAAAACACAGGTCAATTCAATTGTAAGTACACACGAAACTGTTAGAAAATGTTTTAGTGCAGAAGGCATAAAATGTCTGCATTGATATCTAATATAATTTTTTTTTAAATGTATAATTCTTACAATATTTTATCATCTATATTAATAATGAGTGTCTGTCGTAGAATGTTTTATAAAATAGCTATCAATTTATTTTTTAAACCAATAGATTGATGCATTTAACATTTTGTGATAATTAATACTATGTTGTTCCTTATTACAGTTGTTTTCCCTATCATGCTTTTATTGCCATTATTGTGATAACTTAGATATATTACTTTTTTCTATGTTGGAAGGCCAATTGAAAATAACATTTTAATTTCCATGTGCACTTATTTGTTACCTTCTCCTTTTTATTATTATAGCATGTATTGCAATTTATGTTTCATTTCATTTCTTTTATTTTAAAAGCTGACTATAAGGTTTATAATTTAAAAATATAACATTAAAATGTACCTTTTTGCTGATTATAATATTTCTACAAACCAAAAGTGACCAGTAGCAGTTATCATAGTATTGTAAGCAAACAAAAGTCCACTACCCGTTAGAGCCCCACAAGACATTCTTTAAGAAAATGATCGGAGACATTCTTAAGGGGCCATGGCCTTTCAAGTATGCCATTGTGGAAGACATCAATGGAATTTTGAGTTCTAAGGTACATTTTCAGGGACTGTATGTTTGATCGTATTAAGTTTCATTTCCTTATAAAGAAATTATGTTATACAACAGATAATCAAAATATCAAATTTACTAAGGATCAATATGTATAAAGTAATGCTTTTATTTGTTTGCTCTATTTTAAATTAATTTGTTGGAAAAGTTCAAAGTACTTTGAAAGTGATCTCATGATACAGTATTAGGAACGAACTAACACACGTACTGGCAGCCGGAGGCGAAACCTTTGTGCTTTATGATATAATAATGTTTTAAGTTTCGTTTAAGATAACTTGTAATTTAAATTATTTCTTTAAATAGTAATATATGCGTTACTCATAATGCTCTGCTCTCTTAATGTCCGAGATCATTGATAATCGCCGAAGCGTTCCGAATAGCAAATAGCCAGTAAATTTACAGAAAATCAAAGTGAAAACCGAAATAAACAAACCATTATGCTGTTGATCGCAAGCATTCAAGTTACAGTGATCATTCTTGCAGCAGAGGGAACATGTATTTGTGTCGCTTCTTTTACCTATTAATGTAGTGGTGGAGGTGACTGGGTGCACGTCACATTCCTATTTAAAATACATTTAATACGTTTTCAAGAATTTTTCAAGAATATAGGGACTACCACGTTGCATATGAAACTATATTGTTAAATTTAATGTTATTTTATGCGCTGGATAGTATTTGTTACTCAGTTAAAATTAAATGAAACCTGACTGGAATTAATTTTACACAGGACTCGTTTAATAAGTGTAAAGATTTAGAAGATAGTAATGAATGACAAGCTGGTGACGCTACATAAAAATGAAAAATAGAACAATGCCGATGAATAAAATATAAATAAATGTATTAACAAATAATGATATCCTTATACAATAAATATTAATAAATATTTTGTCGTCAATCTTTGTTCAAAGTTGGTAATAATAATTTATTTGGTAAAGCAAAAGTTGTATTTTTTTTTTTTTTAAATATGATGATTAATTTTGTAACTACAATCTTGAACAATCAGACATTAATTACCGTTTTACTGATACAACTGAATCTGTACTTCGTTTTTTGAAATGTATTAAACTTATTTACATAGCACACCTGAAAAAGAACAGCAAACAACAACAGTTTATTGTCAGTAGATACAGCCCTGTCGACTAATGAATACTGGGCGCAGTAAAGGTAAAAAAAAAAAAAACATAAAAAAATCAGTTATGATAAAAATATACAAATGTATTTATATAGAAGTATCATAAAGTAGTATTTTGACTTTCATACAATACATTCACTATGATTATGTCAAAAAAGTAAAAGATAGTTCATTTATGTGACAGATGAGTATTGTTTTGAAAACTGGAACAATATACAAAATATACATGTAGAAAGTTTCTGAGAAATAAAAATGATAGAATATCTTAGGCATACTGTGCCTTTAAGTTTAAAGTAGATACTATTTATAATGACAAAGATATTAATAGTTTAAAAATAACAATTTTTAAATAAATTTAAATTTCAAAATGGAGAAAATTCTGGAAATACAGGAGCTAAAGATATAAATGTAATCACATGTGATGCAGGACTGGTGTTGCTAACAAACGTATTTTTGAGGTTTGAACTAAATTTCTGAAGAAATAAGAAGTTACTGAAAAATAAGGAATATAATATGTTTAAGGGGGAGATTATTCTGGAAATATTGACGCTAGAGTTATAAACCATGTCACATTATTATGATAATGATATGAAACTTCACATTGAGGTTTGAAGTAAATTCTTTAAGAAACAGAGAAGTTTGAATACAAAATAACAATGTTTAAGTTCAAGGGGATATGCTTCTGAAAATATTACTTCAAGGGTTATGAACGTTATCACATAAGATGTGGTTGAGATAAGGGACATATATTTGAGATTTGAAATATATTTTACTATACAATTTCTGAAATCTGATCGTGGGTGCCGACGCCGGGGTGAGTAGAACAGCTCTCGTACTTCGTATAACCGAGCTTAAATACATAATCCCCAAGTTCTTAGAAGTCACCTGATATATTTAAGGTATAAGATGTACGAGGGTTGTCCCAAAATGTCGTAGACTACATTATTTTCTCTTCAACCCGACGTCATAACTTAATAAAATTTACCATATATCTTCCTTGGTAATTTGTTAATTTACCTACTTAAAGTCATTAGCCAATATATTAGTTAACGCTTTTTATCAGGGTTTTATATTTAACAGTACTCGTATAAATGACACTTTTTCAAAAGGCTTTTAAAACTTTATATTATTAAACTTTACTATATTCTAGACGTAAAAAACAACAACAACAACAATCTGAATACCATTCCACATTAATATTACCAGCATGCTAAACTCATGTTACACTTACCATGTCACATTTTGGTGGCCTGATAGTATTTAAACCATGAAAGGGAAAATAGATAACAAGAAAATAGATAACAATGAGCATATGCAAAATACCTCGTTAGCTTTACATTGAACTACGTTTTGACACTCTTGTGGCGAATTCACAAAACTACATGACAGGCAACGTGGTGGTCTCGTAGCATTACCTGAAAAATAATTGTATACGGTTCAACCAATCGCAACTTTTCGGTTTTAGAATCAGGACCATACGTTTTTTCACCATTTCTGTTTACGTACAGCAGTAAAAATACTGACAGACACGGTATTTCGGTTTAACCTATGCTACAAAAATGAAGGGGTTTTTGTGCCTGAAATTATTGAACAATTTATTGTACTCTTTTATATCATGTTAAAGTCGATTTATATTAAGTGAAATCAAATTAAAATATACATTCATTTGCTTTTTTATGTGTTTATGTGTATAAATGACATACTATTGGAACTACTGAGTATTCTGAGTATCTCAAATAGAAACTCACAGAAATATTTCTGTCTTCATTTCTTTCTGTTGTCAAATGATTCGTTTTCACATTTTAGATTAATTTTGAACCTTTGTTAAAAATGAAAATCACAGCGTCAATGATGTGGCTTTAGACAGTTTGTTTAGAATGTTTGTTAATCCCTCAGTGGCATAATAAAACACCTGACATTACGTAATATTGCATTCTTGTGCAGCAGTCTTGTTTTGACCATGTTTGTTCAAATTATATAAGGACGAAATGGGATTATTTTCAGAATGATCTTATGGAGTGTATTGAGGAATTTGTTTAGAGTGGCATACCATATTTTGTTACCTTAAGCACCGTTATTAGATTTAATGTAAAGTAAACTTCATTTTGCAAAGTCTCTTTTGGTTAAAGTAAGCAATAACATGTATAATATATAGACGCCCCACTCCCTGTGGGTATTTTTGTATACCTATATATAGCATTAAAGCTTATATATGGTATATACTATCGCAGGTGATCAATTAATGCTCTAACATATTATATTCGGAACACCGATGATTGTCCGAAATATTTTCCAAACATTTGATGCAAAGGACCGAAAGTTGCCCTTTACCCAAAGATTGACGAAAAGAGTTAATGTCGATATTTCACAAACCGATATCTATGCATTCTCAATAAACTCAATGCAAACTTTGAAATGTTTACCTGGTTGACAGCTTCTCAAATTACATAAATCTCCTTGACATGACTTGGCACAGAATGTATAACCTGTTGAATCCTGTCTTTTTAAAGGCTTCTGTAAGACAACAACAGCTTTTGATAAAAAGGAATTGATCTTAAAGAAAACTTGAGAACGAAATTACTAAAATAGATCAAGTAAATTAATAAAATATCATTGCAGCCATTTAGATAGAATGGGATTAAACTTGGCTATTAAGTCTTTTGTCCCGCCTAATATATGCTTAAAAATCAAATGGAGGATTCATGTATCTTGCACTATCCTTAACCAAAATGTCGTCCATAAGTAATCGCGCAGTGCATAAGATAATCTAGGACGTTTGGCCGAATTCTTTTCTATCAGTTATTCGACTTAGATATTTTGTTACAGTGTTATCGAAATTCACGACATGTCAAGTCCATGGCATTTATGACATTTGCGAGATAAAAGAGAAATATAGGACAAAGAGTACCAATATTTGTTTGCAAATTACGTAAAATAAACTTGTAATGTAATTATAAAAGATTGACGTTCAGAAAAGATTTATCAAAATCTGATTTCATTACAAGTTCCTTAGTACAGCCAGTAGTGTGTTTTACTTCTCCCGAACCAAAACCATCTTCTCTTCCGTAACATAACTGTTGTTAGAAAAAATAATAAATACAGGATCACATTTACATATAACAATAACAGAAACTGTCCAATTTTTATAATTGTGAAGAGGAAACAAAATTTAGGCGTCTTTTTTGTATCTATATAATAATGAAATATAAGAAACTTCATGAGTACCATTTCGAAAACTGTAACTGGACACTAAAAGTAAAATGGTTTGAGTGACATGATTAAATAATACCATTGTGGGTGCTAAGTAAGCCTTTAATTTCGCAGGATCAACCAAATTAGTTGTTCAAAAATAAAGCAATCCTTAAAAAAAAAAAAACCCGAGGACAACAGATTAACTTTATGAATTATTGATAATAGCGGTGAATACCGGTAGCTGCTTCTGTAAGCAAAGTGCTGAAGGCACTGCATTTTGGACCTTTTGTTATATGAATGCAGTCTCTCAAAACCGAAAAAAAAAAGCATTCTGTATTTAAGTAACATTATGCTCATTCTTAAAACAGTCCATGTATTTTTGCGAGGTTGTAGTCATGTAACCTGTTGGGGTTTATTCATTCATTTATTTGTTTATGGTTAATATTGTTGGTATTTGTGAGGATAGTATTTTTTGGACATCATACTGTAGTTCAGTACTTCACTTACCTCCCCATCAGGACATTTCGTAACATTAAAACATTCTTCATTACTTTTCAAATCCGCACACGAGTAACACAATAAAGCAGTTGTCCCTTAAAAAGGAAAACATAAAAATATTTTACTTATCATATGACTTCCATGTTTTGGCGTTGGGGGTCAAAATTTTGCAATCTGTTTATTGGAAACAAATCCATTTAGCATCGATCCTGTAAATTATAATACTTGTATGGTAATACAGGAAATTTACAAAGGATTTGGGGGGGGGGGGGGGGGGGGAGAGAAAACCCTTTAAAAAAAACTCTTGTCCATTTTATTTTACTTGACATGCACTTATTGCAAAGGGATCTTGTCTAATAAAATACTTACACCTAAATGTCACAATCAGGACAAAATAGAATAACACAGATGATCCTGAAAAAAATCAAAGTACACAGTAAAAATGTGTGTAAAATTAATTTGTCACCATAACAACTATTGTCTATTGCTATATTTTGTTGGTTTACGTTTTGAGTGGATGAAAACTTTTTCCGTAACATCAGAATACAATTTCAGAACTTCTGTGCGGATGAATACTGAAATTTCAAACTTTTTTCAGTTCTACAGTTTGATTGCCCAAAAGTTGTCATTATATACCATGCTTTCAAAATCAACAAAACTCTGCAATGTACCTGTTATCAAAACTGCTATGTAAACTTAAGTACAACCAGTGGTAGCATTTTTTTCATCGCGAATGTAGGGGCGATCATGTGATTGTAAGAAGAAAAACTAATGTCTGATTTTAGAAGTTTCCGCTTCTTCAAACGAAAATATTTTGAACGTACATTTATGGTTATAGTATTTAAGTTGTGTTACTGTTTCGTATTTCAGCACTGTAAGTACTGGCAGAGTGATTGTTACCAAGGTTACGGGAATGGTCAGTGCTATAACACACTATTTTTGTTTCATTAAAGTCGATTTCTTATCACTCCTCTTATGTATATAAGTGAACATGTCGGGACTCCGTGACTATAAAATAGCAAGATTTCAAAAGCATTTTTAAATAAAAAGGTTATGAAACATCAATCAATATCGTACCATTTTTACTTAAAGATACATTGGTATTTATCAAGAAATAGGCAAACTGTTCCCATTAAGTCACTAACCTACTCCGTCGTTCTAACAGCTAGACTAAACAAAAAGATATGGTCATATGCGTTATATCAGGCTTCTGGGAATGCTGAAAGTCATTCCCGGCTCCACTATTTTTCGTTTAAAATTGTTTGCAATTGACTTTAGGTTACATTATCCTTGCTTGAACCAGCAACCTTCATGGATAGGGTTCAACCCCTGAATCTGAGTGACTAAGATCTAATCAATTACCACCTTCATACAATTAAAGAGGTTAAGTGACAATATTATAATATCAAAATGCATCGATATGATTTCAAAGTAATCGTACAACTTCCTAACTTGAACACATGCTAGTTATAAAGTTACTTACGGGATAATGTAGTCTATAAAAATCAAGAATATAACTATAACTTTACCATTCATTGCACCGCGTCTTCAAAGTTTTATCGCAATTTTTCGTTGAATGTACACATATATAAGCGGACTTTAGTGATAAGAAAAAGGGACGTTTAAGTACATTTTTCGAAAAGACATTAATTCAGACGACATCAGCAAAAACTTAAAAACTTTTATAGACTTAAGACAGATGGATAATATTATTGTAAGACATCTATTTTCTTCTCATAGGTTTTAAGGAATAAAACACGTCCTTGTTGTTGTCTCAGTATATAGATGTACCATTCGGAAGAGTTCGGCAATAGTCCTCATACCGGAGGTCAAAATGTTGATACCGGGAGATGTCCCGAATGAAAATTTCCGGTTTGATTCTAGAAAACATTCACATGTTGAAGATCATCACCTGATCGCGAATTATAATTTAGGAGTGCTGCATTGTTATGTTTTGTTCTGTCTAATATGTTTAAATTTATTCATATTCCGCTGTATTGCTATTGTGAAGAAATTGGATGTGACATATGAAAAGGAAGATTTTATGAAAAAACCTAGCTTAGACCGTGATAAAATTCTTCTATGACTACATGTATATCAAATTCCGCTTGATACTTATAAAGAATTTGAAACCGTAGTAATTAAGTATTGTATTATACATGTTTAGGGCTGTTCCAAATTCAAAGCAAGGCAAATCCATTAAAAAAGCTCATCGTTAATAGAAAACAGCATACTGTATTTGCATTGTCTGAAGAACATATAAATCAGCACCAAAGAACGATTCTATCTAAAAATTGATTTTTTTTTTCATATGCGTATATAAGGGAGAGTACCTATAATTAATGTACTTCTATTTATTTATTATCTATTAAATTGATAAGCGTCGTTTTGAGAATTCAATAAGAAATTCATCTGTACAAAAAAATGAGTGTCATAACTTAAGAATTCTTACGGTTTGGCAAGTACGTTTTTACTTGATTATTGAAACAATAAGAAAAAGTCAATCTTTGCATCGTTTTGGTTTGTTATCAATCAATAATCAATAATCAAAGCACAGATTGCGCTGAATTTGTTTGGGTCTCAGAATGTAAGAAAGGTGCAGGTTGTGAGATTATATGTATAGTGCCACCAATGCTTTCCAGCGTTTTAATTGTAGTAAATTGGCTATAAGACTAATTGCAACACTGATATTCAATCCAATGTTTATTTGACTTTAACAATTTGAAAAAAAAATGAGTTACCTTTACTGGGATTTGAACTCCAGACCTCTCGCTTCCTAAGCGAGCCCGAAAACCCTTCAGCCACGGTTAATTTATATGTGAACGGGCTGAAGAAAACCATATTATTCTAAATTAGGGCTTGTAACGACTTTAACTGTTGTTTAACACAGATGTAAATAATCCTGGAGCTTACTATAAGCATTTATATTTATAAAGAATCAAAGGGCTGCAAGTTCTGTGGTATTTTCTGATCTTTGCAATCTAAATCGTACTGTATATCTGTATGCATTTTCCTGTATAGGTTTATTTTTATGTATTATAATTCATTTTGCAAGGCACCAGAGTTTGATACATACGGAATTCTGCATAACTAGAGTTGCATCAAAAAATCATTTATGTTCATTTTTTACGACAGTCACACTTTATCCTTGCATATCATGGCTACTTCCGTAACAAAAACACTTAAAAAGAATTTAACAAAAAAAAAAGTTTCCTCGACTGGGATTCGAACTCGAAACCTCTCACTCATTAAGCGAGCGCGTTACCACTGTACCACGGAGAAATTATACACAGAATTTCTGAATAATATCAAGTCATTCTAGATTTAGAACTTCCATTGCATTTCGGATTTGTAATCCTTATTAATTTCGAGGTATTTTGTTCAGGGTAAACCTGTTGTTTAAAATTGAAGTAAATATTTTAGCGAAAACAGTCCGACATGTAGAATCGATATATTCCACTACTCGGTTTGTGTAGTATTCGGTAATAAATAGTATTTTTATTGATAAAATCATATTCATCCGCGTAATTTGTGATTGTGCATTTATTGAAAATTCTATAAGCCAACGCTATTGTTTAACTTTAAATGCGTTGTAATTTGTTGGATACTTGTAACAAAATAAAATATTTCTTTCTTTTAAATCGCTAGTTTTAAGCTGTTTTGAGAACTACTTGTTGTTAGGTTTGTCGTAAACTTCTGTGTCAGAGATTGAATGTCCACTTTGTATTTAGTTATTTTCGATCAGAAAATACAATAAAACAATATTAGAAATCTTCGACCATTCGGATATTACTTTGCTTGAAAATTGATGCGCCTGTCTTTGACCATCTTTACGCAGTGATCTCCCCTGAATTTTTCGGCTTTAGTGTACATACAAAAGGGAAGTAACCGCTTCAAAAAAGTGGACTACTTTCGGCATTTGCAATTAACAACATTAGACTCTGAAATTTCGCTACCATTATTTGTTTGGTCTGACGACCCAAACAAATAAAAACCAAATAGCTAACCAAACAACATAAATTGTTTTCACTTGTGACATTTGTGTCTCGCATCGTGCGTGGAATTGCCATTACACAATCCTGCTGATGTCACAAAGTTACTCGAGGAGGCACTTTCCAGTACTGTCATGAACAGACTCTTTTTTGTTTTTTGACTTGCTTAAGGGGGTCTATATCTCTCTATTTTAAGGGTGCTACAAATCTTATAACAAATACAAGGTGAAACTTGTTTTTGAAAACTGTCTTTACTGTATGTGCAGGCTGTTCCATTTGTAATATAGAGCTTTAATAGATTACGAATATTGGTACTACTTTAAATGTGTGTACCTCAATGTTTTTATCCCCTTTCACGAGAAGCTATGATAATCCCTCTTTAGGAATTTTAACCCAAGATGGACAACATGGCCCTTTTGCATTGTTCCAGAATGTAGAGAGTAACTACTGCCATGATATTGGAACAATTAAATTCATCACCGCATAAAGTAAAGCGGATTTTTCCCTTGGCCCCCATGTCCCTTCTCATAACCCTATTACCACACAAGCAATGTATTGGTAGAGGTCCAGGCACGATGCCTTAATACCAATGTAACCAATATGGTGAAACTACTTTAATAGAGAGACTGAGATGAATCCTGTTCATGTCCAATTTGAATCGTACCAAAAAAACAAAATTTGTTATCATGCAGACAAGGCAAGACACATCCGTTCCAGGGGCCACAACTCTCTATATAATGCATTGATCAGGCTTAACTAATAATCAAATGGTGTTCGAGATCTGCGTTTTTAAACAAACAAGAGCCGCTGCAAGCGAATGCCTCGATTGACTTTTTTCCCATTACCAAAAGCAAACTTTGTTGTATCAAAAACATCATTATTTCTACATAATTTAATTGACCTTTAGAGTCTATCTCGAATGAACAGTCTGTCCATTAAAGACATCTTAAGGTCAAACTTGAATTATTCAACAAATCATGTTTTTGTAAACTATTGTTTGTCAAAATTATACCAGTCAAATCCGTCTATAAATAACAGTTATCATAATTCACGCAAAATTATAATATTACCTCGACAGCCAGTTATGTTAAGAGCAAGGCAAACTTAAATAATTCAAGTATAAGGGATGTTTTGTACAAGTATTAATAAAATTCATAAATTAATAACAGAGCTCAGACATTCAAGGCGAAATTCAATTATATGACCTCGATGGTCCATGTCATATTAAGGTCAAGGGCCAACTTAGATTGTTCAACAGCTCGTAAGAACACTTGTTCTTTCTGAATATCCTTTCAACTACCATAACGTACTAAAACGTATCCACAAAGGTGGTACATTTGAACCAATACAAACTGAGGAATTTTTAATATTGAAAATGCTTGAAAATAGAGGCGATTCTTAAAATTTTTCGGAAAAAGCACAATTTTCAGTAGTCAACCAAAAAAACCCTAAAAAACCCCCAAACATTTGTCCAATTTTGTAGCAGATTAGCCAATGCAGTAGTTTGGAATTCTACTTTACTGCAAAGCTCTGCACCCAATTGTATAAACGTTGGTTAACTTTAACCACTGGGTTAAATCCATGGTTAGGTTAACTTTTGGGTTAAACTTTGGTTAACCGATTGTATAAAATTTTGGTTAAATTTAACCAGCGTAAATTTCTGGTTAAATTAACCCACGTATAGGAGGTGGGTTAAATTTTAACCAAACATTAACCAGAAATAAAATGGCTGCCGTTTGTACGCTTCGTCTCAACTTTTGTTCATTTTTGCTTCGAAATAGACTATTATCGGTTGTATATGATGGCAACGATATTTTTATAAGTTGCGTAGTGACGGGAAACGGAAACAAACTTTTCCAGAGCCGGAAATAAAGGTAGCACACCACAGTAATGTAGGCCACAGCTTCGAATGGCCAGGGAGGATTTCTTGGATATAGTGAATATTCTGGATTTAAATGACTGGTTGTCTTTAAAATGCATTTTCAGCATAAAATTTGTTTTTGTGACATCTAATATGATCATTGGCAAATTCGAAAACATGGCCAGAAATCACATGCTGTTGATTATGAATGTCAAGGCCGCCATTTTTGTAAACATTGCTTTTATACAGCATGCACGGTAAAAAGAAGTCATTTTACAGGGGGGTACAAACTTTTAGCAGTAGCAAAAAATCTACCTGGTTGAGGACTAGTTTCTTTGTGATATTTTGCATGTATAGGGAGTTGCTAAAGCAGAGACGGTGTTCCTTTAGCCTGTATATTTGCAGATATTTTTTGCCAGAGGGTCGAAATGTGTTGTTTTGGGTCTCGGGCCACTGTAGATTTTGGGCTTCAACGGAATGAATTGCAAATTTTTTGACTGCCTGCCTATTGCAGATGGGATAATTTCTTTGTAGATTTGCAATCTTATGTCATATATGTTCTCAACAAAATGTGTTTTCTTTTTCCAGGTTGTGTAGTTTGGTATCAGAATTATTAGACGTATTGCTTGTAGGACATTGACGGCAGGAACTTGAAATTAACTGTGGAGTGCTACCTAAACAGTTTAATAAATCAGCTGTCAGTGTCGGATAATTCGGATAAATCATGATACAAAATATCAT